CCGCAACCTGACTAGATGAGGAAGAGCCATCGACTGACCGTTCGCCGCTTCGCGTTCGCAAGTCTGGACCATGGCCTTACCTTTTCAGGCATGGTGCTTCCCTGCACAACCAATTACCAACAATGATACAAGTGGGCCGATGTAATAAACAATCGGATTAATGCGTATGTATGTGTTTATGTATCTATGCATGCATGCATGCATGCATGCATGTCTGTCTGTCTGTATGTCTGTCTGTCTGTCTGTCTGTCTGTCTGTCTGTATGCATGCATGCATGTATGTATGCATGTATGTATGTATGTATGTATGTATGTATGCATGTGGGCTGCTGTGTGTATATGTGTTCGTATGTGTTTGTATTTGTACATACACACATCTATACATGGACAAAAGAAGGATGTGGTTTCGAGGATTTCACCGTTCTCGCACTTCCACGCTTCCACGCCCTAGGACGGCTCGAAAACCCTCAAGACCGCCTCAACAGGCGGGCCCAAAACGACCCCGGATGGCCTGAAGCGGCACAAGAAGCCCCCAGGATCACACCCAGAGCGGCCCAAAACAATCGAGAAGGGCCTCACGATGGACAAAGCTGCCCAAATGAGCGCCATACCGGCCCAGCACGCTTTTAAAACGGTCAAAGGCAGCCCCAAGACAGCTCACATAAGGCCACGAAAAGGAAACACGAACCACACTTCGAACTCACATGACGCATCGCACGTGCTCATGTATGCATTACACATACATGCATGAACATATGTACACATTACACACATGGCGCCTGCGTGCTACAGTCAGTTCATCAGCACAGATATGTCTATGCATCTGCACCGTGTACCATTTAAATACAAACTAGCGGATACTGATAACAGGGTTAAGCGCACATGCCAGCAAAACCAACCAAGCACCAAACCAAATCAAGAAACAGGGTGGTGTGACAAAACAAACAAACATAAAGTACCAGGATTCGTTTCACCCTGCTGCCTGGGGGGCACACACCGCCACCGCCACCGCACAGTCCCCCGCCCCCTTTTGCGACGAGCGTCGAATTAGACCGCCGATGCCCAGGCGTCGCTGTCCACTCCGAGCGCGCCCTGCTTACGCCCTCCAGTCGCGAGTAGGGAACGCTTGAAATAAGAAGTGAAAGAAACAGAAAAAGAACAGGAACAAAAAAAAGGCAATACCATCAAGGAAATTGCATGGCACCCGCCATGATGTACCCCCCAATGTGCCCCCACTTCCCTCTTCGACGCCCTCGACTGAGAGCATAACAAAAAACAACCCGTGGGGACTCGACAAGCTCGCGCCGGGGAATTATTGTTGCATGATGTTCCATATCTTTGTTGTCGACATTTTGTCGTCGTCGTCCTCAGATCCGCAAAACAGGAAATTACATCGGCTTACGGTTAGACCAGCCGGGACGGGCACTGCAGCCGTTGGTTCGCCGTATACATCGCGTAGATCGGGTGCGTCCCTGGGACACTTGAAGGCCGTATGAATTGACATGGGCGTGCCCCCGCTTGCGGCCGGGAGTTTCTGCTTACTGTCGCGGCGGCGGCCTTAGCGGCACGCCATACATTGCTAGCGGATACCGCGTCGCCCCGCTCCGCGGGTTGGGAGGCTGAGCAGAGCTCGTGACGTCGACGCTTGGAGGCCCGGACGTGGTCAGCGTGTCTCGCCGAAGCGTGGTTTGCCAGAACAGACGACGCGGCACACGAAGCCAAAGTTCCTGACGGCATTTCCTATCTTCCCGTATTTTCGGCCTTCGATGGGGAACTCGTGCTAGCACTCCTTAAAATTGAAGCTTCGATGGGGCTTCGACGGGGCTTAGTTTTCGGGCTTCGGTGGGGGCTCGCAGGGATGAGCTCGGGACGCTGACGTTAAAATACGGAGGCGTGTTTGGCGCGTCGCGCCGACGCGCGGACCAGAACCGGCGGCGCGACACGCTGAGCAACCGTTCCTGGCCGCATCCGTTCCAGCATGTGGAGAAGGGGAGGGCGGGGGAGAAGGACGGGGATGAAAAACAGGAGGAGGAGCGCAGGTGCCACAGGAGGAGGAGGAGGAATGGGAGGAGGAATGGGAGGAGGAGGAGGAGGAGGAGGAGGACGAGGAGGAGGAGGAGGAGGAGGAGGAGGAGGAGGAAGGAGGAGGAGGAGGAGGAGGGCGAGGGGACGGACAGGGAGGAGGGAGAAGGATGGGGAGAAGTGGGGAGGAGGAGGAGGAGGAAGAAGAAGGGGAGGTGGCGGAGGAGGAGGTGGTGGAGGAGGAGGAGAAGGAGAAAGAGGAACAAATATGAGGCAGGAGTTTTTTAACGCTCGACCTCTGCTTGACAATGACCCCAACGAGTGGGGACCACCTCTGATCACAGCACAGTCCAGGGAGAGGGCAAAAACTGTACGTTCTTTTCCCTCTTGATCTGCTGCGGGTGTCGGCCTTGGATTACATAGTTCCAGGCCGTAAGTCCTGCCCCTGTCTTCTTACAGGAACAGGGTTCACCCAGCTTCTTGACGCGGCCGCCTGTGCTGTAAGAGCCGCACCGACGGCAGATACAGAGGAAAGAGCCGTCCGTGCAGTCCAACAACGCACACAGATGGTTGAACTGCTCAAGGAGGCTCGGGCACAGGCGGGGAGGCACAACACAGTGGCCAGGCGCTGGGCGCGCCTGACCTCGCTTGCCTCTCAGACACGTGCTGCGCTGCCAAAACTCCCCAGTCCAACACCACTCGTGGGGCGTCTTCGACGTCTGAGCTGGCGGGGCCTGGGGCTTGATGAATTGAACGCCAGATAAGTCCAGCCGCGGCCAGCGCGGCAAAAGCTTGGCTGCCAAGAGGATGACAGCCCTCGCAATCCTGATCTCACGCTCGACGCGAGACAGAACGTCAGGGTTGGCTTGGGGATGGACACTTGCGCCCCGCTTAGCCGCGAGGTCGGCATGAAAGTTACCTGTCCTCCGCCAAGCCTCCTGAGCAGAAATCCCTGCTTCATCGACAGCTCTGTGCGCGGCGACTTTGACCAGGCCCTGGAGGAGGCGGGGGCCAGCGCCCGCGAAGGCTTCCAGGACCGAGCCCGCGTAGGCCCTATGCCCCCCCCCCAGGCGGTCCCGAGGCGCCCTGGAACACACAGAAATAACCGACGCACAATCCGAAAAAAGAGTCGCTGGCCCAACTAAATTGACACCAGCAGCAGCCAGTGCCGTGAACTCACCAGCCTGAGAGGACTGCGGCAAGTGAGAAAAGACAGGCAGGCCCTAGCACTCTGGCCAAGAGATGGCCCTGATCAGACAACAGCACAAAAGCCCAGCCAGCTCTGGACAATTCACGAATCTTAGACTGAAAACAACTGCCGCCCAGGAACAAACTGCCTTCAAAGCGAATATTCTCGGGCCCTTGGAACTCCAAGCCTGAATCCTGGAAACCTTCCTGGAAGAACTCCATCTTGACAGCGTCCGAGTCCTGCTGGCTGACTGGTTGCGGCACATAGTCGCCAGAATGCGCAGAGGCACCCGTCAAGAAGTTCACGAGGTCCCCAGAGTTCTGGTCACACGCGTCCCTGGCCCAAGAGATGACCTCCTCATCCACCAGCTCCTTCCTTTCCTCCATGCATGCTTCACACTCCCATAGTCTATGAAAGACAGAACCCACCTTAGTGTGACACAGCGGGCACAGAGGGCACACTTGGTAGCCATACCTTAGTGCACGGGAGTTGGTCCACAAGGCATTGCATGCGAGGGCACGAACGGAGCCTTTTTTTTTTCACAGGCCGAGAGTTGTTTCGAGCGGAGCCCAGCCGTGACGACATCGAAACAAAGGCGATCCGATCCTTCGAGGTCGGGGGGCTTCCGATCGGGGGCCAACTCCACGGCAGCAGGCTCATCTAGGCCTTGGGCAGGCTCTGGCGGAGGAACTCCGACGCCACAAAAGAGATCGCCGTCCACCAGCTTGCCGTAGGCCGCTCTCTCGAGCTGGCGCAGCACAGCCCGGCGCAGCAGAACCTTGAAAAGCGCTGGCGAGAGCTGCGAACAGGAGAGCTCTCGACCCATGTCATCCGTGAAAACAACCATGTTCTTCATATCCCATCCAATCCTCCTGAGACTCGTGAACATGGCACTCATCGGTCCCGAGACGCTCCTCCAAGTGACAGATTGCTGGCGACTGCGGAAAACGCTTTCCAAGAAGCCCGAATGGTAGCCCAGTCCAGGGTACCTGGAAAAGCACTGGTCCTGAGAAGCCAGACCTCTTTGATGTAGCGCAGCACGGGCGCAACCGAGCCGTGCCAAACAGGGCCCCCTTCAATGAGCGACAGCACCGTCAGCGATCTGCGGGGGGCATCTGGCTTGATGGAGCTGGCTGCCACACGCCGAAGACCGTGCACCTCTCCGTCCGTGAGGCCCTGGACTTCACATCCATAAATATATCCAGGCAACGGGCCAGCAGAGAACACCTTGATAGCTTTCCTCCCAAAGTGAGAACGGAACCGCTTCAAACGAGTAGCCTTGCGCTGCATCTTGATCTTCCTCTCCTGACGCTTCCTCATCCCCCCCTTGCCCGCCCTGAAACATTTCCCAGCCGCGTCGTCGCAGTCGAGGTTGATGGCGGAGGTGTCCAGTGCGCCGAAGGGGCCAAGATCAGCCTCCAGCTGCTGGCCCAGGGCACCACAGGAGCACACTAGGGCAACCTTGTCGAGAGCGACACGGCCGCCTAACATCTGCCTGATACCCGCCAGCAGCAGGGATGCCATGTTCAGGATGGTAGCTCTAACGAAGGACCTGGAACCGATAGCCGAGATGCTGGTGTCATCGATGTCGGCGTCGAAAGAGGAAAACTCCGAGGACTCCCGATCGATGCGGCGCAGGCTGAGCGAACGAGGAACGGTGTCGAAGGCATCGAGGGCATGGACACGGATGAGAGATGTGGCCATGCTGCAGCCCGCGATAATGCCGTGAGTGGCCCTCAGAGGGCCAGAGATGATGTCAGAGAGGCAGATGTATCGTGCCGACATCTATGCGGCCAGACACATATGCAGGACCCCCACAGGAAACTGATGCCTGCGACCTCTAAGTTCCAAGGCCTCGAGGTCAATCAGCTCATAGTACTTATACATGTCCCACAGAACAGTGGCTGAGCAAACACCTCGTCTGACACCAGCTTCCGACCTAAAGGCTTGGCGCTACGCACAATCCATAGCCCCTCTGTGCCATCCAGCGGCCCAATAGTCTCTGGAAAAAAAAAAAAAAAAACGTTTCTCATGCCTCAGCCAGGGGCCTGCGGGCCCGCCCCCAGAGGCGGCACACCGAGGGGGAAATGCCGATCGGCCGAAAACCCCCCTTCTCCTTGGCCAACAAAGCCACCAGCACTGCCGAGAGCTGGGTCGGAAGAATGCCCGAGCGCTCAGCGAGCGAGAGGATCAAGCTGAGCACCTCCAGGCTGGCATCACTGAGGTGCTGAAAATGCCTCAAGTGAAAACCGTCGTAGGACACAGCACTCCTCTTAGGATACTTCCTGCTCAGCTTCCGAAAGAACTCCACATCCAGGGGGGGAAGGGGCTCAGAGATTCTGCACCTGAGCTTCGGGGGCGAAACACGGACCTGCCAGAGGCCCGAGTACGTTTTGACCTCAGCGTCAAGCAACTGTTGGGGATCAGACACGACCTGACCCTCCGACGAGGGTAGTAGTGGGCTTCCAGCACAGGGGGTCTTTGAACGCACAATGGGCATTGCGGGCTCCATGACTAAGTTTATCCGTCAACCAAGCGTGCCAGCCCTGACCAGCCGTGCGTTGGTAGCGCTTCGTGCAAGCAGCAAGAACCTCCTTCTGGCGCGCAAGAAGGGCCTCCAGCCTAGCGAGCCTCTCAGCAACTGGTCAGAAGGCCGCTCCGCTTCGCTCAGAGCAGGGTCCCCGGCAACATGCGAGGAGCCACCCCGACCCTCGCCCGCGCAAGGGGCGGGGGAGGCGCGTCCTGAGACCAAGTTCTTCAAAATAGCATCCAGCTCAACGCGGGGAGGAGGGTTAAAACAATCCCAGTCCTTGAGCGAGTCCCTGATGTCTTGCAACAGAGAAATGTTGTCCTGGTGGGTCAGCTGACCAGGGACCCACTCGGACTGGAGCACGCCCGTCAGCAGCTCGCCAACGGTGCGCCTGGTGAAGGTCGAGGCTTGACCAGCCCAGACCGCAGGAAAGCTGGGCAGCAGCACGGAACCTAGAACAAAACCACCTCATGGCACGAAGCTCCGGGTACCGCCTAGCTTTGACATGTTTCTGAATGATCGGCTTCCAACAAACCTGGGGGTCCTTGCCCCTCGAACCACGGCAGGGGAGCTCCTCCTCCAGCCTCTGACAAAGCTCTCCCTCTGTCTCGTTGGCCCAAATCTGATAGGCCTTGCTCAGAAGACGCTGGACCTCACTGGCATCCTGGGACCTCGAGGCTTTCTCACCCCGCTCGAGGAACCTGCGGGCCCTTCCGAAGTCACCTGGGGGGGGGGGGGGGCAACGCCCGCAGGGGCGTCCACGGGGAGAGGGGGGGGGGGCTTGCGGAAACCCAGGGCCTGCAGGCGGCAGAGGGCAGGGTAGAACTCCAGCTCCACCACGAAGTGCGGCGAGAACTCACTATCGCCGCATCGCTGCACTTGCTTCACACCTCTGGCCAAGCCTCCAGAAACGAGGAGGTAATCGTAGTCCGACTGGCGAGCGCCGAAACATGTGGGCGCACCATTCGAGGTAAGTTCGCATCTAGCCAGCTCCAGAAAACCCGCATCTCGCAGCTCAGGGGGCTCGAGGTTGAAGTCGCCCCCAACGACGTACGAGAGGCCTTCGAGAGCCACGTGGGAGCCTATAGCCTTATAGAGCTCCAACTGCCTGGCCGTGAGGCCCTCCGTGTCGAACCCGTAGACAGAGACGAGCCCAAACTGAACACCCCCTGGGAGATGAGCAACAGCACCCAGAGCACGGCCTTGAAAGATCTGCAGAGGTTGGTGGAGCCCCATGAAGGCCCCGGCAAGGATCGCAACGCCTCCTGGCGCGCCTCCTTCAGCCGTCCGAACTGCAGGCTCCCACAGGCTCTTCCACCCATGATCGAGACAAAACTTCGAAGCACGACCAATCGAATCTTGATCAGCCAAGTGGTGCTCCTGCACAAAGATGACGCGGGGGGTCTCCGCCGACGGAAGCCAATCACGAAGCGAGCCCCAGCTGTTACAATTAGCCGTGGCGATTACCATTCCGAGAGTGTCTTCGTCTGGCCTGGGCCCTGGGCCTGGGGCTCCTGGGCCCGAGAGATGATTACTAAAGCTAGAACTAAATTTGGCTCCATCAAAATTGGACTCCCACCCTTCCCCAATCCGACAAAAACTACACTCACGCGAGACAGCGGACGGGTCAAGCGGGGAGCCGACGCAGGAGTTCGAGGGGATCGGCCCCTCACCCTCAGCAGCCACTACCCCCGCCCCCACCGCCGTTGGGGGCGGGGGAGCGAAAAGAAGAGTCAGAAGATGAGAGTACCTTCGAGAGCCTGGCGCGGAGAGCAGGGTCGGCTCCCGAAGGCCGCGACGAGCTCGAAGTGCCTCCAGGTGAGGCGGCTGGGGCTCCACCTCCAGCCTCAGAAGTTGCCCGCTCAGCGCCACCTGGCGCTGCAGCGCCAGCTCCTTGGCCAGGTTCTCCAGCACCTTCACTGCCACCAGGTGTGTCGCCCTCCGCGGTCCTCCTCTTCTTCTTGGACAGCCTCTTGAGGTGCTCCTGATGCTCACGGCGAGCAGCCTCCAGGTGCGACGAAGCCTTGCCGAAGAGCTGCTTCGCCATGTCCTTGAGGCCCGAGCGCAGCTGGGCCTTGCGCGCCTCCAGCTGCTCCTTATCCTCCGCGGACATCTCGAACTCCTCTGGCATGTTCGCGCACAGGTCATCGACGAGCTCGAAGCTGAGCTCCTTGCCCTCCGCCAGGTCGCGCAGGCTGATGGTCGGGCCAGAAGACTGCTTGGGCGGCACCGACGAGGCCACCTCCAAGCTGATCTGCTCGACGAGCTCCGAATGCTGCCTCTCAAAGCCATCCAGCTCATCGGCCATCTCCTGGATGGAAGACTCGCGCATGACGGTCGCCTCACGCCAGCGCTACAGTTTCGAGATCTCATTTTCGAGCTTCTTCTCCACCTGGCGAATCTTGCTCTGGGTCTGCGCAGCACGGGTGTGGAGCGAGGCCTCCTGCTGGCGAGATGGCTGGAGAAGCTTCGCCCGAGCGTAGTCGTACTGCTTGGCCAGCTCCAATTGCCCTCGGCGTGTGGCGATGGCGGCCAGCTGCTGCAGGTCATCCACGCTGAGGCCCTTGGTGCTGATGCCATCAGAGCCCGCTCCACCACCTCCGCCGACGGGACCTGGAGGAAGCGGAGCGCCGCGAGGGTCACCAGCGTAGTGATGACGAGCGCCAGCACCTTTTTGAGCCGCGGGGCGCAGCGGGTCGACCTCCGAGCATGTGGCGCCGTTCCATTGAGCTTTGCAGCGCTTGCACTGCCACATCCAGCCCAAGTTGCGCGCACATCCACAGGAACCGCACCTCCACTTGACATGGCGGTGGGGTGCTGGGCGGCTCTGCCAGGGCGCGGGGGCCATGCGCGCGCGCCGAGACGGGCCGAGCCAAAGTGACTCGCGACAGCAACGCCCTTCTGAAGTTCGCTGCCGACAAGCTCCTCCAAATTGGCTGGAGCCAGAAGGGCTGGAGGAGGAGGAGGAGGAGGAGGAGGAGGAGGAGGAGGAGGGAGGAGGAGGGAGGAGGAGGAGGGAGGAGGAGGAGGGAGGAGAGGAGGAGGAGGAGGGAGGAGGAGGGGGCGTCCAGTATGCAGGTGCGCCGAGCAGGACCAGGGAGGCACTCGAGCAGGGGATCGACTGCAGAATCGGTTCACCCCAGCATTGATCTGCTCGTCGAATGATGGCGAAAGAGTGGAGTGCTCGTAGATCATCTCACTCCACGTAGCTTTCGTAGATCCGACGAGAAAGTCAATTTGGGGGTAAATCCATTCTGTAGTTGATCCCCTACTCGAGGCATGGGCGCGGACGATAAGGGGGGGACCGCATACACACGTCTTGGGGCGCAGCGAGGGGGACGTCACGGAAGGGGGTGGTGGTTTGCTAGGGGTCGGTTAGGCCACCCCTGAGTGCTGAGAGAAGGAGAGGGGACAGGAAGCACAGGGGGATATCAGTGGCCGCGGCCATGATATCCCTCCCCTCGTGGTCACCACCCTCCTCTTGGCAGCCCCCGAGAGGAGAGCAAAAAGGATGGGAGCGTGGAGCCATCTCGAGCGGCCGCTGCCCTGTCTTCCTAGCCCCCGGCGCCATCTCAGTCCTCCTCGTCGTCGCCGTCCTTGTCGCCACCCTTTTTCTGCATCATCTTGCGGCGCACGCGGCCGGGCCTGCCGCCGCCGAACGGGGAGGTGAGGGCGAAGTCGATGTGCTTCTCGCTGTCGAGGCGCACCAGGAAGGACGGGATGTTGCAGATCTGCTTGCCGACGCGGATACTCGAGGAACAGAAGGCGGCATAAGAGCATGCAAGCTTCTGGGGGGCCGTGCAGATTTCTCTCGGCTCAGGCCTGGGCCTCCCTGGCGGCCCTGGGTTAGGTCGGGCATGTCCCCCTACAGGCGGATTCTGGACGACAAATCAATACTGCACCAAAATTACGCAAAAATACTAGAACAAAAATCATCCCCGGATTATTTTTTTTAACTATGTTTGAACATTCCCCATGTAGAGGGACGTGCCCGACTTAAGCCAAGGGGGTTCCAGCTCCGATCCGAGAAATCAGCGCAGACCTCCGAAAGTGCGTGTTTATGCAATTTTTCCTCCTCGAGATGTGACGCTGGCGGATCAGCACGCGCGCGTGGTGGATCGACTTCGCGAGGCCGAGCTTGAAGACCTTGGTCTGCAGGCGGCGCTCCATGATCTTCGCGCTGGTGAGGCCCAGCACGTAATCTAGCTTCTTCTCGCTCTCCATCAGAAGGCCGATGCGGATCATGCGGCGGAGCAGCGCCTCGCCCTGGAACATGCGCTGCTCGCTCTTCTCGTCCAGTGTGAGCAGGTGGCGCGCCGCGGTACGGATCTTGGCCAGGGCGTACTGCACGCGCCACACCTCTCGCTTGTTCTTCAGGCCGTACTCGCCGACGATCTTCATCTCCGAGTCCAAGCGCTCCTTCTCGAAGGGGCGCTTCGGCTTACGGAACGTCTTGCCATAGTTCTGGTAGCTCTTCTTTCCGCCCATGGCTCGCGCGGTGTGCGGGCCGGCGCGTGGGTCGTGCAGGAGGCCTCCTCCTCGCTCCTGCAGCCAAAATGGCTGCACAGGGAGGAGGAGGACCAGGAACGACGCCCGCCCTTTCCCGAATCTTTTTCGATGGTCCTCAGAACGTTTCCTGTCACGAACGTGTGGTTGTCCGCCGATGCCTTTCAATACGTAGGCAGTGGAATGCGGGTTGGCACAAGCTGCGTGCTACCATTGGGGCTGAACGGCGCAACCACACATTGGGCTAACTAACATACGTCCTGAGAATTATCGACTTCTCCCCGCCATATGGGCGACGATCAGAAACTTGTCTTTCGCGAGACGACGTAGCGAACTTACGCGGCGGCTTATGCGGGCCGCTGGCGCGGCACGCCACACTGGAGACGAGGGCGCTTACGCGCGACTCTACGCGGGCAGCTTACGGGCCAATGTCGGCACAGACGACTTCGTGTTTTTTGTGCGTCGCTCATATGATGTAAAATCGGGCCTAGGCCAGAATGACATCCCTCAAGAACATGAGACCCCTAAGTCGGCCAACACAAACAGAACATCCGAGGGTGCCCTCCCCAGGATGCAACAACAACATCCGACACACACGAAGAACCCAAGGGTACCTCCCCGAACCGGCCTCGCTCGAGCTGGCCCCTCGGTCCGACTGCACGAAGACATAGCACGGCATAACCACTCCCTCTCGGAGGCCCGCACGGAGCTCTTGGCTCGGCGCCCGACCCCCCCCCCCCCCTCAGCGGCGCGCGGAGCCTGGAGCGACGCCGGAGGCGCCGCCAGCAGGGCGGCACAGCACCGATCCAAGAGATCCGCACGGAGCTCCCAGAAGACGCGCGCACCCAGAGAAACACCCCTCAGGAGCATGAGACCCCCCGTGGGCCAAAAAGCACAGATTATCCTCGGGCGCTTTCCCCGGGATGCCCCAGACCATCCAACAAGCACGCAGAACACCAGAGGGCAGCCTCCCCGGGCCGACCTCGATCTCATGCCTCGGCCCGTCTATGTGTCGCACTGTGCTCCTCGGCCTACACTTAGGTCGGGCATGTTCTCCTACAGGCGGACTCTGGACGAAACATCAGAAATAGCAAAAAACAAAGATTCAAAAACGGTCAACACATCGTCCCGAGACTATTTTTTGATTATTTTTGCATTTCCCCTCTGTAAAGGGACAGGCCCGACTTAAGCCTACACCTCCGATGTTGAAACCCCCAGACCCAAACCTGTTGGCGTCTCGCCTCTTCCCTCTTCCTCCCCATCGCTCGGCCGTCACTTCCCCATGCATCTTTCGATTCTGTGCGTGCTTCTTAGAAGAACAGAAAACGGCAAAAACATTTTTGTTCGGCGGTCTGCGCGGATGTCTTGGATCTGAGCTGGACCCCCCTGCATGGGCGGCGCCGGGGGCGCCGCCAGGGGGGCCCAGCGCAGGTCCCAGAAATCCGTGCGGAGCGCCAAAAGTTTTATGCGTATGCCGTGCTTTCTTCTTCGATACCTCCTTCCCGATGATCCAGGAGATGCTCCTCGATGGTCCTCGCCGAGAACACTGAAGGGGAACAGGGACACACGAATAAATAGACGCAAATAACCATATCCCCCATCTTTCATCGTATTTGCAGGGCTTTTATCTTCCCTCCCACTTCCCATATTTTGCCATTATTTCTGGGGAGTCGACGATGAATTGTGTCTGTGTGCTTCTTTCCCTCCTGGGCGCTGCCAGGCTTCCGTCCGAGCGGCACCCGCCGAGCCGTGGCCGCTCCCGCCCCCGCCCCCCGCCGGCCTCCGCCGGCCGGCGAGGTGCGCGCCCCGGAGGCGGGGCCCTCTCTCGGAGGAGCGCTGCGCGTGCTCTCCCGCGGTGCTGCCTGCCGGGTGCAGTTTTGTCTCCCACTTTCAGGCTTGCCTCTACGGGGCTCCCGCTCGGTTCCAGGCTGGTGCCTCGCAGGGCTGCTTTGCCCGCTGCTCGGAGGTGCCCCTGGTTCTCCCCGTGTTCTCCGAGTTCCCCTTGGTGCCTGTTTTTGTTGTTGCATCTTTTTTTGTCGTTTCTCTCTCTGTCTCTCTCTCTCCATCTCCCGAGGCCTCCTAGATGGGGTCCTAGCATGTGCGGTTGGAGGACGCGCCGCATCGCCGATGTACCGGCGACGCGTCGGCGACGCCGGCGACGCATCGGCGACGTCGGCGTGGAGATCATCGGGATCAGCATCGAGCCGCATCGCCGATGCATCGGCGATGCGGCGCGATCCTCCGAACCCATCTACTCTGACCCCATCTGTGAGGCCTCAGGTTGTTGCCCTCTTTCCCTATCTCCCTACCTCCGTTCTCTTTCTCTCTCTTTCTCTCGACGCCGACGCCGACGCCGACGCTGACGCCGACGCCGACGCCGACGCCGACAACGACAACGACGACGACGACGACGACGACGACGACGACGACGACGACGACGACGACGACGACGACCCGCCGACGACGACGACGACGACGACGACGACGAGCTCTCCGCGCTCCAGCTCGCTGCGAGCGCGGCCAGGAGCGCCCCCGGCCCAAGGTGGCCAACCCGCTCTCCCCGTGGGCGGCGCAGGTGGCCTCCGGAGCACCCCCTCGTCACCAGGCTTGGGCCGGTCCTGGCCCTCTACAGGAGGAATGTTGAGAAACAGTCAGACCATCCTCCTCCTCCTCCTCCTCCTCCTCCTCTTTCTCCTCCTCCTCCTCCCCCTCCTCCTCGCCTCCCCCTCCTCCTCCTCATCTTCCACGGCCTCCGTCTCCGCCCACTTCGTCGCCGACGTCGTGGTCCTCTTCAGGGTCGGCGGCACCGGCCGTCAGGCCTTCGCAATAGTCAAACCATGTTCTGGGGACATTTCTTTGAGCTATGCTTGATTGTCTTTGAATGTGTCTCGACTATTTTTCATTTTTTCATTCAAAATCCGCTTGTAGGGGGACATGCCCGACCGACCTATCACCGGGTCCCCAGCAGTACCCGTCGAAGGCTCCCCACTGGCGCGACAACCCAGGAAGTTTCCTTGGGACGCGCAGAGATATACTAATACTAGATGTCCTCCTTCAAGGCGCGCGTCCGACCCGAACATATAGTATACCAATCTTGTAGTATATCGTTTCCCGAGCGGTGTTGCCAGAAAGCACCCGCCACGACGCGTATACTATAAGATTTCTCGGTGCGCGCGTCGCCCCTGAGGGGGACGACGTTCACATTAAATTAGCATGTTTTGGTGACGCCGATTCCTGTCGGCGGCGCGGCCGAGAGGAAAATTCCTTCGAAGCTTCTTTCTCGAACTTGCAGGCTCCGCAGACATCCTTCCAAGCGTCCGTGCAGGCGTCTCCCAGAGGCGACTCTGGCGCTGTGGGCTGCTCCGCTATCCGGGACAAGGACGCTACAAGTGAGAAAGGGCGGGCCTTCTCAGAAGGCTCGGAAGTCCCCCAGTCTTCTGAAAAGTCTTCTGAGCCTTCCCCGGAGACACGAAGACCTCTCAGAAGGCGCGAGGGCTTCTGGGACGTCCCGCCGCCTTCTGAGAAGGCCTCCTCTTTCTCACTTCCCCCCCTCGCTCGCCGCCGATTCTGGGCCACGACCACATCCAGCAACCTCCGGCAGCCCTGTGCTCGCGCGCCCGGACTCACACCGATCCTGCCCTCGCGGGCGTGCACAGCACAAAAAGACACGAGGAGCGGGACGACGGCAGCGACGGCCACCGGAGAGACGACGCAAGCGACCACCACGCCCACCACTAGAGGCCTCCCAAATGGCGTCAGAGTAGATGGGGTCGGAGAATCGCGCCGCATCGCCGATGCATCGTGGACGTGGGCGATGCATCGGCGACGTCGACGTGAAGGCAATCGGGCTCCACATCGAGCCGCATCGCCGATGCACCGGCGATGCGGCGCGATCCTTCGACCCACACGACCACGACCACGACACCACGCCCACCACGACACCACGCCCGCCACGACACACGACACACGACACACGACACACGACCACGACCGCGACCACACGCCCGCCGCCACACACGATCACGACCGCGACACACGACCACGACCGCGACCACACACAGGCGACCACCAAGCCGACGGCCGGCCTCTCCGACGGCGGGCGATGGCCGACAACGACGACGACCGCGGCGAGGGCGAATATATATCGCCACGACGGCGGCGGCACGGCTTCGGGGGGGGGGGCACAGGCCGGCGAGACTCCCAAAGGGTGTGGTTTGCAGCTGGCACCCTGGGGAACTCCTCCTCCTCCTCCTCCTCCTCCTCCTCCTCCTCCTCCTCCTCCTCCTCCTCCTCCCCCTCCTCCTCCTCCCCCTCCTCCTCCTCCCCCTCCTCCTCCTCCTCCTCCTCCTCCTCCTCCTCCTCCTCCTCCTCCTCCTCCTCCTCCTGGGGGGCACCCTGGGGGGCGCGCGGGGACCTCGATGGAGCCCTCCCGCGCCACAGGGAGGCCCGGCGAGGACAGCGTCGTGCCCCCCAGGCCCCGACGGTGCCCATCGCAAACCACACCCCAGCGTAACCATACCCTTCGGCGGCGGCACGGCTTCTGGGGGGGGCGCAGGGACCGACCGTCCCAGCATTCCCATCGGCCTACCACGACGTGTTCTTAGAACCCCAAAATGCTGTAATAACAAAAACCATGCTCTTAGAACATAGACCCGATGTGCTAAAACAAGACAGCCCCAGCCAGAAATGTTCTAAGAACATGTTGTGCAGACCACAAAAGGCTCTTAGAACATTATTTGGTGGGCCTATAGGCGAGCCAGGATGCTTCGCCACTGCTTGAGGGGCGGGACACAGAGGGAGGAGGGACCAAACTCAAGCGCGCAGGTCGCTTGTATCGCATCATCGCGTTCAGACATCGGGTGGCCCCGCGCGGGGCCCACGCCACAAAGCCACTCGGGCGAGAGGTCAAACTCACGCGCAGTAGTTTGGGTGACCCAAAAGGGAGTCCAACTGAAAGAGGGTGTTGCAATAGAGTTCGGGCAATTGTATTGCAAATGTACTGCGCCAGAGAATTGTATTGCATTGTATTGCGAGCAATGGATTGCGCGAGAAAATC